GAACTGCTTGGATGTTTTCTGTTGAACAATTTGTTGAAGGATGGCCAGAGTGTTTAAGATCACTAATTGATCCAGTCGCCCTGAAATTTTCAATTAATCTCTGCACATTTGATGAGGTTAAATCAATATTCCGACAATATTTTGTGCGGATATTTCACTGCTATCAAATAAAGTGTCTGTTGTTATGTAGAATTAAAAACGTCTGTCTGGAATTTAAAAGGAAATGTGTTATTGTTATTCAGTGAACTATAAATGGTTAAATTAGTATTTAATAATTGAATCATTTAACGTTTGTTAAATCTGGTGTCTCTAGGACACATTATTTTGTGGGAATGGCGCCTATAATAAAGTACAATCGTGTAAAAGTCAGCAAAAGCGTCGTTTTTTTCGTAATGTAAAGGAAGTACATATTCATATTAATAAGAAGAAAGCTGTCGAGTGGATTCATTTAACAAAACTGAAGGCCTTTTTTTCTGTTTATTTCTTTTATTTGTTTTATTCTGTGACGATGATTTAGACTTAAAAAAAGACTCAAAATTGAAAATGGCTAATTGTAACTAGAGACACTCACACTTTGTTGTAGACAGTCATTACGGAAAATGACCTTTTTCGAAAACTGTCAAAATGTTGACAAATCCTGTTTCCTAAGTGCCCAAAAGATATTTTAGTTAAATGGAACGAAAAAGGACTCTTTGTAGTAGTAAGTTGTAGGAAATAACTTGATTGAGATATATTTACAAATAATGCTTTCCGGTGTTGTCAGATTTCTTCAGTAGCTACTAAAACATTATCTTTTTTTATGGCAACACCGTATTTTTTAACATAATTTGACAAATCTTCAAACTCTAAATAAAAAATGTCATGTCACATTTCTTTATTAGAGTAGCCATTTTAGAACAGTCAGCAAAAATAAAGAAAATTAAAGGAATTAAAAATATGCCTTGGAAATTTAAAAAAATGCGTTGTTTGAAAGGAGTCATCATTATTGTGCTGTCATTGTATTATTTGACAGCTGTTGTATTTGAATCTATATAAAAATAACGTTTTAATTCAGTTGCTAAGATGTTTTAGAGCCTTTTGCAGATCCTTGGGCACATACTACCAACTGTTTTTAGTTATTTCTTAAAAACTCCGGATTTCTAAAACGCTTATCTTACGTGGAATTCAGCGCATGGATTGCGTAGACTTAAGCCACCAACATGAAGAAAAATTAACTCAACTTTCCCTTTTGGATTATATAACTGATTCATATTGTTGCCATTCGAAGAAATATTGTTTTAGTAGCTACTGAAGAAATCTGGCAACACCGGAAAGCATTATATGCACATTTTTCTAAGTCAACTTATTTCCTACAACTTTGCATTTTGAAGTACTAGTCTATCACTTCAAATAAAAAAGTTAGCCTATGTCAGGTTTTAAAAAAATTACACTGTATATGGTAACAATATAAGTCACATTACAAGATAATCGTATAAAAAAACAAAGTAATGATATTGTGACATTAAAATACAAGAAAATATAAAAAATAACAAAGGAATAACAAAAAAAATGGAATAAAAAAATTGAATTGAATGAAATTAACATTCAATATGACTTAATTTTGAAAATCTATTTATTTCAATTGACCAAATTTAAATTTCAAACCATTATTTTCATTGTTAGATTAAAGTTCCCATATTTATAGTTCTTAATACTTTAATGTAAATGTGAAAGTTTGTACTTCCTGTTTTGTCGATTTTAACAATACCTCGAAGCAGTTTTCGAAAAAATATTGTCCGATATACAATCACGAAGTCGTTTTTGCATTTTCGGATGTTTTTTTTTTTACTCCTTGGCGTTGCAAAAAACTCTCCTTTCCTGAGTACAATAGCACTTTTCCTAAATTATCATTTATACTATAACTACAATAGAGGAAAAATTAATCGTATACACTTTCTCTCGCCGGGTCTAAATTAGCTGACTTACACGACGGAAAGAGATATGGGTCATTTAATTCTTCCCCAGTTTTTGTGTAAATAAAGTAGAGAATGAACAACAATTACACGTCAAAGCACTCTAGTGTAAAATGTAAAAACTCGATTTTCGATGTTATTAGACGTGGCAACCACGCGTAAAATTTCAACTTCGCTACGGTTAGCGTGGTGAAAATTTGTGTAAGGTCGCATCCCACTTGCGCGTTTTAGGCTTTTTAGACACGAAATAGCTGTATACAGGGTGTTACTTTGATGGTAAACTGAAACTATACCAATATTGGTCGGAACATGCTGAAAGGTAGTCCCCACCAAAGGCATGCACACACACATCGTGTAATAGTTTTCATTCCATGCGTATTATTCGCGGCTTAATTTTGTTGCTGTTTTATGTTGTTTGGAATTAAGATTAAGATATCTAGTACTGATTTGACTGATAGAGTGGCTGAATAAAAAAAGAGTAATAATATGCCGTATTTTGTTTAGAATTCTGTAACATTTTAATAATATGTTTTAATTTTCCTAAATGTATACCCTCTCTACATTTGTGGTAATGCCCTAGCTGCGTACAATTGTTTACTCCATTGGAATATGTAAAACTCATGTAATGTAGGTCAATGTCAGAAGTCATTGACAAAGATATTCGCAAACTGGTGTGGAAGAGTACACAAGAGTTTATGTGCAATTTAAAGAACGAGTTATAATTCGGCCACTTATTTGCTTAAAAAAACAACATCATATTATTATGCTGAGGATCACGTACGTACAATTGCCCCTAGAAAATTGACTCGCACTTAAAGTTACAGCCTGTGTAGTGTTTATCGTTAACGTACGAAGAAAAAAAACTGGGGATATTCTCGAAAGTTGTGGTTGAAATTAATAAATACGTTTTAAATTGATATGAAATACAGACAAAGTAATAATTACGCTATATCTGCGGCCCTGAAAATATCAGTTACACTTACAACCTTCATTAGCAGTGTTTAGGTATTGGAATTATTTTTAAATATTGAAGGTATTAATCACCGTCACGAAGAGGCATGCAAAATACATTGATAATTTTTTTTACCGATAAAATAAGGTTGCTTTGTGACGGTATACCAGAATTAACAAATCCACGTCTTCATGAATTTCTTCTATACAGGAGGTTAATTTAGTAGATAGACAAATTTTAAAAGGAATTCTTACAGTGATTTCAAGATAAAAAAGGGGTTCACACATCAATAATTCGGAGTGCTGACATTAAACAAAAAATTCAACTACGTATTCTGAAATATCTATGAAGACGTTTGATCCAGAACGATGAAACCTATGTTAGTATTCTATATTGTTAGTATCTATTTAAAAGTGATGAATTATGATATACGTAAATGCGTATACCAGTGGCGTAGACGCCGGGAGTCGCTTTCACCGAGAACCCCAGAAATTCGACGCCACTGGATATTTTTACAATTCGATTACTACCTGTAACGTATTGTTGTATTTCTAAGAAAAAAAGATAACTTTGATAACTTCGAAAAATAAACCATTTTCGATTTATACCTTTTTTTAATCTTCATAGTCCAATTAAATGAGCCTTTAAATCGCAATTTTGGTCAACTTGCCTGAATTTTTGATATATGTTTGTTTGAGGTATATAATAACAATAAGTAACAGTATCTTTTTTCAACCCCAGGCCGGGGGTGGAAAAATATAAAATAAAGGGGTTTTTCAAGATAACTCAAAAGTGGTAAGAGCTAGAAAAAAGTTTCTTGTAAAGGTTGTAGGGCATTACATTCTACATAATAATGGTCGATAGACTTTTTCTTGTACTATTAAAATTAACAGAGTTAGGGAGACTAGAAGTTATAACATTTCACAAAGCAAAAGTGCCCAACTAACACAAATGCTACTATTACATCACTCAAAGTTATATAACTGTTTTTTAATAGCAGCAAATGTATCTTTTTAGATTTTTAATGCCTTAAGGGGCCCATATTCTTTAAATAGACAATAATTCCGCAAAGACAAATAATTTCAAACATTTAATAACTGCATAATCTAAAGCTTATCAAATAATAGGAATGTTATGTCATGCCACCTGAGTATTTTCAAAGACGCCGCAGTAAAACGAATAAACANCACGTAACTTCTGATAGACCATCGGTACTTTCCTACACTGTATATATGTCGTCGAGCTTAGGTACATACTCAAATCACACTGCCAGGCTGTATATTCTTTTTAAACTCGTTACAGTTGTTGTTCAAAGATGTTTTGCTATAAGGCTTATATAAATTGTATAACATAATTTAGTTTTGTTAATCTAAGATTAATATCTTGCCGTTGGCTAGACCCTAGTGAGATTGTGAGATTACACTACGTTTTACCTCGCTCCATGCACCTCTCTCACACTTGTACGTCTGTTCCTCTCCCACGTCTCAAGAGCCGTCCGAATCCGCCACCCTGCCCAACGTCGGGGACCGTGTAGATCTTCTTCAGTCAGGGATGCCACAGCTACCGAAATTTCGGTAGATCTACCGATTGTAGCTTATATCTACCGAAATACCCATTTTTGTCCAAATAAAAAATAAAATATATTATCCAAATTTAATTTTAAACGAAAACAAAATTTTTGCAATTCTTTGTCTGCCACATTCATCTGCAAATGTCGAGAGAATATCAGATTATAATTTAACAAAAACAAGAGCAACCTTGAACACATCTACTATTTCTGGTTTCCTTAATACCAGGCGACAACACGTGTTACGAATTTACCATTGGAAAAAGAACTCTCATGCCCGTAAGCACCGTATAATTTTAAGTTGGCTTTAGAGTTAAGACAGCTGAACTTCACGTTTTTGTATGCACCGTTCTCTTTTGCCGACTTAAGCATTTCTAATGTTAAGCCCACAATTTTGGCGGCTTAAGCTTGAGATTGGCTACTTAACCTCAAAACAATTTTTGTTTTGCTACGACAGATTATTGTATATGTTATTTTTATTCTTTATAAAGATCATAATTAAATTTGCACTACGTAGATTGAAGATGAGATGTTTGTTGAAGATGATTTGGATATCTTGCATATTATAGATTATGGTTTTCCACGTAGATTTTATAATCGACAAAATCATTTTGAAAATATGGCTGACCTATCATTTTGTAGAAGATTCCGACTACAAAAAGAAACTGTTTTACATGTGTTAGAACAAATTGAACATAATTTTGAGTTTAACAATGATTTGTAAGTATACTACTTTAATATTATAAATTATTTTTGTTCGTCAGTCCACATAAGTAGATAGATACATAGACTGTGATTTTTAATATAACTGTTTCTCCTATAAATCAACTTTTGACGACACTGTGGTTCTATGCTACGTGTGGGCATCAAACTGCAATAGGAGATTTTATGGGAATTCACCAATCGGCAGTTTCAAGAATAATTACCAGTCTCACGAGAACTTGCCAGATTGAGAACCCAGTATATTAAAATGCCAAATCGTCAAGAACAAATTCATATTCAAAGTAGAATTTACGACATATCTAGATTTCCACGTATAATTGGGTGTATAGATGGAACACATATCAAAATACAAAATCCAGGTACAGTTGGTATTTGCTAGGATTGTTATTTTATTAAGCGTATTTTTTTTATAGTGCAAGATGATGGTGCGGTTTTTAGTAACCGAAAAGGATATTTTTCCATTAATGCTCAAGTTGTTTGTGATGCCAACTTAAACATAATGAATGTTGGAGCCCGTTGGCCTGGATCTACCCATGACATGACCATTTTTAATAATAGTACAATTAGAGCACAATTTGAGGTTCGTGAATTTGAAAACAGTTTTCTTCTAGGTAAATTTTTCATGGCTTTTAATAACTATGTCGTTATACAACTTATAATTTTTTTAGGTGTAATTTTTTTAGGTGATAGTGGATATGCAGTAAAGCTTTATGTACTTACGCCTCTTCTGAACCCTGTAAGCCCTGAAGAAATACGTTACAACGAGGCACATATTAGGACCAGAAATTCGGTGGAGAGAACATTTGGTGTGTGCAAACGAAGGTTTCCCGTTTTAGCGTATAGATTGCGATGTAAATTAGAAAATGCTCTGACAATGATTATTGCTACTGCTGTGTTGCATAACATTGCTCAAAGGCAAAATGAAGGAGAGCCACCTCCACCAGAACACATTAATTTTGATGAGCTAAATTATTTAATTGGGCAAAGTGATATTCAACCAGGACCAGAAAATAGGGTGAATCAAGATGGGGCCAATCAAGACAATAGAAGAAATTTAATAGCAAATTTTTTTACATATTTATAAAATTGAGAAAAATAAAAAACATACAATAATATTTATTAACTTTTTATTTTAAAATATGGTTTGATTTTAATTACTTCTTTTGGCTTTTAACTCTTCTTCCAATAATTCGATTTCGAGTTTCCTTTTTTAACATTCAGTAAATGTTCTGCTCTTCCCTGCACAATTTGTTGCTCCACTAAAACAAATCGACGATCCTAAACAATTTTATATTTTTCGGCAACTTGTAATGAAGTAAGAGTTTTCACACCAGTTGTTGGTCTTCGATGACTTGTCCGGGAAGGGGTGTTCTGAAACAAGATAATAATATGTACAAATAACTCTGACTACGAATTAACTAAACATATGGTGGCTTTATAGAACTGGTGTGGTATAACCACTGCCATTTTTTACTCAGAACGTGACCAAAAAAAAAGTTGACCACTCTATGGCTACTATAAATAGAAATAAAAAAATGCTTACTTCAGATATTTCTAGTACAGGATTCTTTTTAGTTTGCAAATCTGCTAGTACAGATGATAGAGAAACGCCCCCCCCCCCACCCGTGGCGCTACGCCCTTTTTTTATAATATCTGGAGAATTCTTCGAAATAAATTGATAAAATTTTATACAGAGGTGCCATTTATTACGAGAAATTACTTTATCTAAACCAAATTGACAAATTATTTTGAGGGGCGTCCCTACCGGGGGGGGGGGGGGGGGGGGGGGGGTAGTTCAAAATCCGCAACTTTTGGCTTGCCCACATAGGGCCAGTTAATGTTCAATTTAGCAAGACAGAATCAGTCAGTTCGCTATCAGCAGCTGCTACATAGGTTGTCTTTATTTTTAAACACGAAAACAGCTATGAGGTTTGTTTCAAATAGCCATAGGGATTGATTCGACCCGCCATAAGGCTCGTTCTGAACAGCCGTAAGAGTCGTTTCGAGGTTCATTTCAAGGAACCGCATGGCTCGTTTCAATCAGCCGTAAGGCTCGATTCGATCTGCCGCAAGGCTCGATTTGAGCAGTCGTAAGGCTTGTTCGGTCAGCAGTAAGGATCATTTCGATCAGCCGTAAGGCAGCCGCTGCCTTCCTGCTTGAAAGGCAGCGGCGATCCCTAAGAGCCCTCATACACGAGCCACATTTTGCAGTCGGACCGACGACAAAATTGCGGTCGCATGTTGGCGAACTGAGCACTACCATAAGAAATAGTATACCCTCCATACACGGGCGTCAACAGGAGTCGGAACGGGCATTTGCAGTTCGCTTGCGGCCGATTCTCGCCGGGTGGTTACATCAACGTGCGCGCCGGTGTAGCCGTACACGGACCACGGACCACAATCTTGCGTTCGTAGTCACCGCGATCGCGGGAGTTTATTTTGTTCGTTTATTCCGAGTAGCCGTTATACAGAAAGGACCTTTGTCTCTGTTAAAAACAATGGAAGAAACATTTGATACGGATTTGTTTATTAGCGAAATCCAAAATTATCCATGCATATGGGATTATAAATGCGAATCCTATAGCAACAAAGTGGAAAGAAATAATGCATGGGCTAACATTTGCCAGAAATTCACAACAAATTTTGCTGAGAAATCGGTCAAGGAAAAAAACGACATTGGTAAGTTTTAATATTTAATATTAAAATCTATTACAACAAAGGGAATGAAATAGTTTTAAGTGTGTTGTATGCCAAGCGAACTATTTTATTTCATATAGACTTAAATTTTACTTAATTGCCATTCTACTTTTCCCTCGTCACTTATAAAGTATGCAGCAAATTCATTCCGAAGAGAATTCAAAAATCGCCCACCCTGTCTATTTTCAACAGGATTTCCTTCTAGATCTTGTAAAGATTCCGGCAATGTCAAAGTATCTTCAAATCGATATCCATCCCTTTCACGAACGAAATTGTGAAGAATACAACATGCTTTTACAATATCAATGGCGAAATCAATTTGTACATTCATTGGTCTATGAAGGATCCTCCATTTATTTGCCAATATTCCAAAAGTGCACTCAATATACCTCCTAGCACGACAAAGACGATAGTTAAAAATCCTTTTAATATTACTAAGATTGTTTCCTCCGTATGGTCGTAATACATTTTTAGAAAGACTAAAAGCCTCATCAGCTACAAACACATACGGCAATAGATTTCCTCCACCCACAAGTCGCCGGGTAGATGGAATATTAAGTGTGTTCTGACGTAGTTTTTGGTAGAAAGTACTTTCTTCGAAAATCGATGAATCGCAATGTTTACCATAGGAGCCTATATCCACGAAAGTAAACATATAATTCGAGTCACAAATAGCTAGCAAATTAAAAGAAAAATATTTTTTATAATTGAAGTATAAAGATCCGCTATCTGTTGGCTTGATAATTCTGATGTGTTTGCCGTCTATGGCACCTATACAGTTGGGGAAATTAGCTCGTGTTTGAAATCCTTTTGCAATGCTTAGCCATTTTTCTTTCGTTGGTTCCGGTATGCAAATATCTTTTAAATTTATCCAGATTTGTTGACAAACATCACGAACGATTCCTCCTATTGTTGTAGATCCACATCTGTACGAATACTCCAAATCCATAAATGTACATCCGGTTGCCAAATACCTGAAACAAAATAAAAACTTTAATGTAATAAAATATTTTTTTTATTTGCAGCCAAGACATTACAAAGAAAGTGGAAGACATTGAGGGATGGCTTTAACAGAGAGGTGAAAAAGAATAAATCCACGAAAAGTGGCTCCGCAGCATCCAATAAGAGGCCGTACGTGTTTTTCGACCAATTGTCGTTTTTAATGCCACTGGCAGAAGCCAGGGCTGAGACATCGAACAGCTTAGAAGATACGTCTTCTCAAAATAATGAAGACGAAGAAAATCGGGAACCACCGAAAGATCAACCGAGAAAACGAAAATCATGCCATTCTGCTGAAGATAAACTTATCGAAACATTGTCTAAGCGTATTGATAAAAAAATAAATGACGATGATGGTGATGATGATGACAAGTATTTTCTTTTGTCGCTCCACAAAGATTTAAAAAACGTCCCGGAGGAATTTAAATTGGAAGCAAAAACTGAAATAATTGGGGTATTGAAGAAATTTAAGGCAATGTCCTCTTCTCAGTTCAATAGAACAGAACACGTGCTTCGAAACCCATATATCCAGTACACAAACCAGCCACTCAGCTACAACACAAATCCATTGCACAATCAGCCCATAAACCATCACATCAACTCATACATCCCTACCACATCCGGACAATTCCAGCGTAACAGTGTTAGTACTCCGCTTAGCTCCCCACAGGATTCATTGTCAATGGATTCTGTACGCACAACATCGTCATTTGAAGATGTATTTCAGTTATAGATGAGAAAAATAAAAAATTAATAAAATGCAAACGTTATTTCATTATTTCAGAAAAAATAAAAATTTGGCATATAGAAAGTTGACTACCGAATTGAATTTATTTAATATCTAGTTACTTACCTCAATGTTATAGTAAGCCTCTCTTCAGCCGGAATACTTTTTCTCATGTTTGTGTCACAACGTTTAATTTTAGATTTCAAAATTCCAAGTAGTTCATCAAACGAACTAATTGACATTCTAAAATAATTAAAAAATTTTTTGTCATCTTGCTTGAGTTTTGCAAATAAATTATAAAAATTTCCTTCTTCTCGTCGAGTAGTCAGAAGTAGATGTATCCAGAGTGATCGTATTTTTCTACGTCTCCTTTTTCTCCTCAAAATAAGAAATAAAAGTGTTTCTTCTTCGAGAGGCATATTTAAACTGATCTGTTATGTGGTCAGGTTGTAGTCGCCTCGACTGTGACTGCGGTTGATACTACCGCAAGTCAACCACAAAAATGTAGTCGGGATGTGTTCGGGTCAACCGCGAGTTGCAGTCAACTTGACCACAAATTTGTAGTTACGTCAACTGCAAAATGTGGCTCGTGTACGGCGGCCCTTATAGCTGCATCCTTGTTTGTTATAATGTTATATAAGCACTTATCGGTCAATTGGTAAAGCTTTAATATAATATATTGATTGCACTATAATATTATCATTTAAATAGACTATATGACTAAATTATAAAGGTAAATAATATCACAACGAACTTTAAAAAAGAATCTGTAAAAGGGATTTATTACAGCTGTAAGCAGAATAGTTAAACAGTTTCTTCTCAACTAAAAAGCTATTTTTGAGAGATAGAGCAATATATATTGTACTTATAAAACCACTATACAGGGTGGTCCGAATTTTATGCAGGAAAGTTCTAGGGTAGATAGATCTCTTTAAAATAGTAAGTGTTTGCCTTATAAACATAGGTCTGGAACGGCCTCGTTTTAGAGATACAGTGTGTTGAAGTTGTTAAAAAATTTTGATTTTTTGCTTATATCTCCGGAATCTATTAACCGATTTCAATAAAATTTAGTACAGATAATGTATGATAGTAGGCCTTGTATTTCCTAAAATATGAGCTCTAAAGGTTCAACCCGTGGTGTACAACCGGATAGGGTCATCCCCTTTTTTATAAATAAAACCTACGCCACTGTATTTTTTACACGCTATTGTAACGGATTTATATTCTATTGCACGAAATACGTAAAAAAGGTAACTTGAATTTTTTCCCTAAAGTTCGCCGTTCTCAAGTTATTTATACCAACACAATCCTCTTGTAGAAGACACTTCTAACCATAATATTATACGAATATTTATGTTTATGCTTAAAAGTAAGTGCAATTTGTAAGCATATCAACAAAATTCTTTACACTTGTCGCTTTAATCTTTTTGGATTAAAACGATATTTGGAAAATCACAATGGAGTAATGAAAGGCACAGAAATGAAATTTTAAGAGCATTTGACGATGATCTTTGACTAAATACACGAAGAACGTCTCGGCAACTTGAGGTGAGTAAATCGAAAATTTGAAAGGTTCTACATAAGGATGGCAGAAATCCGTACCATCTGTGCAAAATTTAGTTCCGGGACCTGCCGAGAGACGCCCGAATTTTTATCAGTGGTTTTTAGAATTCTTACTAGAAATATTGTGGACCGATGAGGCTGCGTTCACAAGGCGAGAGGTAGTGTATTTTCACAATTTGCATATTTGGTCACAAGAAAATCCTCATGAAATTCGGACAAAATCTTCAACTCGAATTTTCTGTGAAAGTATGGCTCGGAATAATTCGCAATAAAGTATGTGCACCTTTCTTCTTGCCGCCCCATTTAAATTCCCAGCCACTTATAAACTTTCTAGAAAACCATCTATTTGAATTATTAGAGGATGTTCCATTAAATATACGACAAAATACTGGATACAAGTGGATGGTGCTCCTTGAAGAGAATAATACGAGAATGGCTTAATGAAAATTATATGGGGTGATGGATAGGCAGAAGACCAAATGCCAATCTCAACCATAATGTTGGAGAGGGTCCAGTGTCTCGGCCAGCCAGATCGCCAGATCTAAACCCCCTGGATTTCTATGTTTAGGGTTACCTATCTGAAAAGTAGAGTTTACTCCAATAGAGATACTAGACTACAACTACTGTAGCGAATAGAAGGCAGGTGTAATGAATTAAAAGAAAACCACCACATGTTATTAGCTTCAATTAGTTCCATTAATAGAAGATGTCAGAAATGTATGGATGTGGGTGGTTCGCATTTTGAATAATTGCTGTAAATACGTAACGTTAATTTTGTTTCTTGTTTAGTTGTTGTTGCTTGGTAAATGTATTTTTATTATTATTTTTATAAATTATTCTTATTTGTAAATATTAGGCCTCCAGGTGAAACTAAAACACACCAGGAACACTACCTCACAGGTGATATGGAAAGAATTTTGTTGATGTGCTTACAAATTGCACTTACTTTTAAGCATAAGTGCTACCACAAGGGGATTGTATTGGCATGAATAACTTCAAAATGGTGAATCTGAGGGAAAAAATTCAAGTTACCTTTTTTACGTGCATTAGAATATAAATCCCTTACAATACCTTGTAAAAAACACAATGGCGTAGGTTTTTTTTTATAAAAAGGGGGTGACCCCTGTCCAGTTGTACACCACTGGTTGAAACTTTATGGCTCATATTTTAGGGAATACGAGGTCTACTATCATACATTATATGTACCAAATTTTATTGAGATCGGTTAATAGATTCCGGAGATACAAATAAAAAATTATTTTTTTTAACACCTTCAACACCCTGTATCTCTAAAACGAGGCCGTTCCAGACCTATGTTTATAAGGCAAACTCCTATTATTTTAAAGAGATCTATGTGTCCTCGAAGTTTCCTGCATAAAATTCGGACCACCCTGTATAGTAAAACTTTCAAAGAAATAAAGATATATATATGGAGAGATTGCCCCTAACCTAAAAATCAGTGAATCAGAAGGTTTGTTTGTAGTAATAAAGTAAATGCCGATACAATTTGTTTTTATGGCTATAGTATTTTTAACGTAATAAATATTTTGATAACTTTCATGAGATATTTTGATTTAATCGGGGACATGCAGTGATTTTTTTATCGAAAATCAAGCGATATTCGAAAAAGTGAGGTGACAGGTTTTTCAGGAAAACACTGGAATTTAATCGTATTACATTCAAATAAGCCCGTTATTATTTCAAACAAACGTGCCATGTTTCATTAAAATCACCGAAAGTATAGTTTGTTTATACGATAGGTACGTCGTTGCTTTTACAGTCACTGGAAAATTATTTTGTGCTGCCAACAACAACATTAATACTGTTTACTGATTATAATAATTTCATTAATTATTAATTACAAATAACACTAACTGATAATGATTTAATCTTTAGACATCCATTCACGTCTCATCTAGAATGTATTTGTTATTTGCCCATATATGATTATTGATTATGGTAACTTGTGACCTTGTGACAGTACTTCGTACATTTGTACTCTACTAACAGTGCTATTAGTTGAAAGTGTTTTATCATTCAAAATCTTTCAGAACATTTTAAAATGCAAGAAAGCACTTACAATGTCTACTGGCCATACCATCTACCCATCATACTTACATTCTACTTTACTATTTGTTGCCTAATTAAAAAAAAAACTTCTTTTCTGTTGACGTGACTGGAATTGTAGCAGTAAGCAGTTTACGCAGAATTTTTAAACTGACAGTAGATTAGCAAATTACTCTACAAAATACTATATAAAATATTTAAAATCTTAATTATTTTATAATAGATTTATAGTTACTGTGGTAGAAACATCCTCCTAACGGCCATATTTTTCAAACATGCTTAGGTCAAGATGTCAGCCATATTGTACACCAGAATTACGCCAAAAAGAAATTCAATTTTATAATATATGTATCATAAAATAATTAGTTTAATGCATGTCTATTGAATTATATTTAATAACTTATTATGTACATATTCTTCATTTTTTTATTAAATCGAAAATTGTGTCATCATTTTTCAAAATTTATTACAGATGATTGCCAAATTTGCTTAATTTTAAATGCGCTTAGTTCCTTTTTAAAGTATCGTGGTATATTTCATCAATAAAATTTTCGATGCAAGTAGTTTTTGATTCTCTAGATACATATTTAATTTTATTGTTAATGACTGTATATTGGTAAACATTAACTCTTGAGTAACTACCTTATGTGGCCAACAATCAACCATAGCCCAAAGCTTTTATTAATAAAACAATTTAGTATATAAACGCATGTATTATATTGCTAAAAAGCCTATGTTTTCTGTACAAAGGTTTTATAGTATATTTTATAAATGCTGTAAGAATGTAACGAAAGAACACTAATTAGTGGAGTAAATATTGTATGCACAGCTTTTATAAAATGGATATATAAGCTGCGCCTATTTTGGATTTATAAATGCTTATTTAATACTGTATAACTGTTCTCAACACCTTTTCATAAAGCTTTTACCTGCGGGAGAGTGGTTATATAGATATTCTTAAAGCTATTATAAACATATTTGTGGTACTGGGGTGATTTTTTACCTTTGTCGTAATACAAAATTTCGAAAACAACTTTTCATTATTATAAATAACAGCCACACAAAAAAAGAAAAGTTGTACTATGTACTTTATTACCTGAGATTAGGCAGAAAACCCGTTAATAGATCTTTTACAGAAAAAAGAACAATATATTGCCGAAAAAAGAAGGCGAAAACATGATTGGGTGCTCAGGTTATAAAGTAAACAACAATATTACAAACTGCGGCCCCGAAAACCAACGTATACCAAATTTGGCGCGAACGTTATTCTTTGAAAATTTGTTAGGCCATTTTGGATCCACCATCTTGAATTTTGCAAAATTAACCTCGGATCCGTGATCAGTGACCCCGAAAACCCCAGTATATCGAATTTGACG